ATACATACAACTAATTTCTGATTGATCATAATATTTAGAAATAATATTAATAATAATGTCTTCTAGTGTCATAGCCAATATGTTATTGCAGGTTCGTAATCTAGTTCTGCCACTCTATATTTAAGTTTTTTTGTAGTTAAAAATATATATAAAGTTACTCTCTCAGGAGTTAAAAGATAATTTTTTTTTATTAGACTTGGAAACAAAAAAAAAAAAGGGAGAAAAGAAGAGAAAGGAGGAATTTCAAAAAAAGAAAAAAAAAAAGAGAAAGGAGGAAGAATAATGGTCCGTTTGGTTCACAGAATAGACTGGGAATGACATAGCATTCCCAGTAACAGACCTATTCTTCTGTTTGGTAACAATGTGTATTACTAGGAATACTGTTCCTAGTAATAGCCTATTACCTCAGATGAGGTAATAGCTAATACCAGGGCCCCCCTCGTATTAACTTATTCCTGAGTCCTCAGGAATAGAATATTTTTTTTTTCAATTTTAACCTTATCTTTCTCGCCGTTCTCTCCCTACGTATCATTCTATCCTTCCCGATTCCTTCATCATCATTATCGATTCCTTCATCATCAACATCAAAATCAAACAATTTTTCCAGCCAGATCAAATTAAAGCATCATCAACATCAAAATCAAGCAAATCTTTCTGCGACATCAAAGGTAAATTTTCAGAATTTTATTTTTTACCAATTAAATATTTAATTATATATATATATATATATATATATATATATATATATATATATATATATATATATATACTGCGGCGACGAGCCGCCGCCGCAGTAATATATATATATATATATACACTGCTGCGGCTCGCCGCAGCAGTAATTTATATATATATATATATACATTGCTGCGGCGAGAGCCGTAGCAGTAAAAAAAAAAAAAAAAAAAAAAAAAAAAAAAAAAAAAAATATATATATATATATATATATATATATATATATATATATATATATATATATATATATATATACACGGTTGCGGTGAGCTGCAACAGTAATATATATATATATATATATACACTGCTGCGGCGCGGAGGGTTCCGCAGCCGCAGCAGTTTTGTTTAATGTTGTTTTTTTTTTTTTTGTTTATTATATTATTAATGTAATTATCACAAAATTTATATAAAATGACAAAAGACTCTAGGTCCAAAGTGAGGAATTCCGTGCATTAAAAGAGGTCAAAGAGTCAGCTTGAACGTGCATTAAAAGAGGTTGATGGTTTGGCAAATGATGAAATGGACTTTATTTCGTTTAAGCTCACTGATCATCCTAATAAAGTAGCTTTCTTTCTCAGTCTTGATCCTGATCGAAGACTACAATGGATCAGAAGATTCCTTGCTATCAATTAATCATTTTATGAACATTGTAACTTGCATTGGATTGTTTTGAGTATTTTGTTAGAAATAACATATGTTATGCTTCTTTTGAATATTGTTAAATGTTCTTTACACAAGTTTGTTATTTATATGACTATTTTGTTTTGAGTATTAATCACTTGATATGACGATGATGATGATGATATATAATAGTTGTTGTAATAATAATAATAATAATAATAATAATAATAATAATAATAATAATAATAATAATAATAATAATAATAATAATAATAATAATAATAATAATAATAATAATAGTTTTTGTACAAGGGCATTTATGTCTTTTAAACATATATTCTATTCCTATTCCTTAACCAACCAAACATTGGAATACAGTTCCCAATGTCTATTCCTTTAGCGAACCAAACAACAGAATACAATTCCTATTCTATTCCTTGCCTATTCTATTCCCTATGGAATAGCATTCCTATTCCCTCCAAATTCATTCCGTGAACCAAACGGCCCGTAAATGTATAGGTTTGGGATCAATTTTGGAGAGAGAAAATAAATAATAAAAAAAGGAAAAATGAAGGGGAAAATGGTAACACTGTAATAGCCACGTGGAGCTATCCTCAAAAGAAGACAAAAACAGAAAAGAAAAGTAGAAAATGTAGAAGGGAAAATGAGCTATAAAATGATAAAGTTGTAATTCACTTAAAAATGGAGGGCATTTGATAACAAAAATAAATCCAAATGTTAGATAAAAAAATTTCAACCACATGATTTGAGATCAATGGTTAATAATGGGTGCCATTTTTGCGGGGCAATTGGCAATTCCCAAATATTAGTATAGGGGAGCTTTATATACATATATATCTTTATACTTAATGTATAATATTATTGGCACAAAAAAATTATACTTACCTTAATATATAATTACTTTTTAATAAAATTTCCTAATTTTTATTAAAGGTAATTATTCTCATAAATTTTCTTTCCTTCTTTTGTGTAATTATTATGTAATTTTATAATAATGTATTTAAAATTGGAAGAGAACAAATATTATAATTAATATAATTAATGAAATTATTATAGTAATTGCCACAATATTTGGTAATTATAATTAATATAATTAAAGAAATTGAGAAATATAAGATTTCTTCCATAGAAATATTTGTGACAATTTCATCAAATTATAATTAATAAAATATGAAATATAATTAAAGAAATTAAATTATAAAATTAACAAAACATGAATATTTACAATTTTTTTTTAAAAATATACATACATACACTTATCCACTATAATAATCATACAAAATTTAAATGCTACTTTTTAAATTTCTAAATATAATTTCTAATTGTAAATCTATCAATATAAATTATAATTAATGAAATTATATTATAAAATTTTCCTATATACATATTAATAAATATTATGTGTATATACAATGTATTATACAATCATATAAGGAAATACGTCCGATTAGAGTTTAAATTTATTAATACAAAATTTAGAATTTACATTTTTTTTATTGATTTCTAAGTACAATTCTCTTTGTTATTATTATTCATATTTTTAGAATTATAATATATATGAAATACAATTTGGAATAAATCAACTTAATTATATGAATTTTTTAAATAATTCAAATATGTGAACCAATGATTTCAAAATGAAATTAATATACGGTTACAAATAAATATAGCATGATTAGATTTACTTTAATTAGTTTTATTTCATTAATGAAATGGCTTTTCTTTATCAGTTTTTTATGGGAGACTAAGGGAGTGTTTGGATTGCTGGAAAATATTTTAAAATAAAAATAAATACTAATAAAAAATAATTTTAAGATATTTTATAACCTCTCATAACATGTGTAAATCTTATATTTTTAAAAAATACAATTTGATAAATATCATAATTTCTGTTTATAATAATTGAAGAAAAAATAAATAATTCAAATATGTGAATCAAATGATTTCAAAATGAAATTAATATACACTTACAAATAAATATAACATGATTAGATTTACTTTAATTATTTTTAATTTTCTTAATGAAATGACTTTTCTTTATCAGTTTTTTTATTAGAGACTAAGGGAGTGTTTGGGTGGCTGGAAAATGTTTTAAAAATAAAAATACTTACTAATAAAAAGTAATTTTAAAATATTTTTTAATCCCTAAATATGAGAAAATGTTATATTTAAAAAATACAATTTGATAAATATCATAAATTAATTATTGCAATATCATTTATGTTTACAATGAGAATAATTAAAGAAAAAATAAATAATTCAAATATGTGAACCAATAATTTCAAAATGAAATTAATATACAATTACACATAAATATAGCATGATTAGATTTACTTTAATTAGTTTTAATTTCCTTAGTGAAATGACTTTTCTTTATCAGTTTTTTTATGCGAGACTAAGGGAGTGTTTGTGTTGCTGAAAAATATTTTAAAAATAAAAATAATTTTAAAATATTTTTTAACCCCTAAACATGCAAAAATTATATTTTAAAAGAGATACAATTTGATAAAATATCATAAATTTTTTATTGCAATATCATTTATGTTTACAATGAGAATAATAAAAGAAAAAAATCATCATCTTCCACATTCCCGACCAAATTAATATCTCTATCTAATTAATTGTTACCACAGATTAAAGTACATATGTACTTAAAAATGAAAAATGGTTATCAAATTCTGAGAATAATTAAGCCATTATAATTGTGAGAATAACGGAAACAAATTATGTGTAATAAATGGGAAAATCCATTTGAAATTCTATGTAATTTTATAAGAAAATAATATTTTATCAATTATTATGTACACCAATTTATATCTATACTATTAATAAAAGTAAAATCTTCAATTAAAATGTCTTTCACACTTTTGATACGAGATTGCCCTTCAAGTTCTAACGAAAACAATTCACGTTGATGCTTGCATATGCCATGACTATCAACAAAAGTCAGGGTCAAACACTAACTCACGTTGAGTTATTACTGGAAAAAAAACAATCTTTAATCACGGTTAATTGTATGTGGCTTTTTTCCCGAGTCACCTATCCTGAAGGTTTTAACTCTAGAGGAAGATGGATAAAATTCTGTTACTACTACCAATGTCATCTACAAAGAGATTTTCAATAATGTGTAATTCAAGCCAGTGATATTATGTTTTTTTTTTTAATTATACAAAGATGACAAAATTGCTATATATCTACATAGAAAATATATCTTTTGTATAAATAATTTCTATAACCGAGTTGCTAGACAACGAGCTAATTAGCCCAATTAAAACAAATCCTAAACACTGATATATAAAATCTCTAAAGTTGCAGCACCGAATGCGTATATCTACACGTTAGCTATTAATTGGGCAATTATTTGCTCGAATTCAAACAATGATAACATCAGAAAACATAAACGGTGCAACTCAATTCTTCAATTATATTATATAACTAGCATGGTACCCGTGCGATGCACGGTCAATAAATTATATTTTAATTTTAGATATTGTTATTGTAATAAATTAAATGACTGTGCAATATGTTATGTAATAAAATACACATATTACATGTTAAACAGTTTGTCAAGTATATTGCATTAACACATAAGAAAATGACTAAATTGCAAATTAGTAATTTATTTACAAATTATTGAAAACTTCATGGTACACAACATTAGTTGTTGAAATACAACTCTTGTTAAGCTCATTACAAATTAGAATCTTTAGACCCTTAGGATTGCTAACTCTAGACGCAGCAACATACAATTGACCATGTACAAACACTGGTTTCTTCAAGAGCAACCCAACATGAGATAGTGTTTGACCTTGACTTTTATTTATTGTCATTGCATATGACAACATTAATGGGAACTGTCTCCTTTGAAATTTGAAAGGCAATCTTGTGTCCGATGGAGACATAGACATTCTTGGTATCAACACCGAACTCCCGGCATTGTCACCGGTCATTATTTTAGCCTCAATAACATGCTCGGACAATCTTGTAATAACCAATCTCGTACCATTACATAAACCTAATGAGTGATCTATATTGCGCAACAACATTACCGGTGATCCAACTTTCAATGTTAATGCGTGGTTTGGAATTCCAGATGCACGCAACCCATTAAGAAACTCTGGAGTGTGGACTTCTCCAAGAATACCACTTGATGAGTCTGACTTACAAACACTATCACAACTGAAGTATGTTTTACTCTCTGCACTATGCAATTCAGTCATATACTCATTTATGGAGTTCACAACATCTAGTGTTGGTGCTAATATCGCACGACTTTGCATGTAATCGTGGTCGCATCTACCATTTAAAAAATCTGGAAAAATTGTATCAACAATGGTTTTAATAGGGTCATCGCCACATGGTAGTATCAATTCATTTGGAATCTCAAACTCTGCAAACCCATCATTTGGGCCACCAATTGTCCCATCACCAATCGAAGCAATCCAATTAGCAAACTCCTCAATTTTAGCTTGGTCAACGCAAGGTTCAATACTATTCAAACGAAGGTTCTTTGTCAATCGCAAAACTCTACAATTATTCCATAAATATGAGGAATTTATAGTGGCCCCAACAATATCTTGCCTTGTGCCTTTTGGAATCACAGGCAATATTTGCCTAAAGTCTCCACCAAATACTACTGTTTTTCCACCAAATGTTTTCTCAGCACTTAAAGGATTGTTGAATCTAAGCAAGTCTCTCATTGTCCTATCCAGAGCTTCAAAATAATGCTTGTGCATCATAGGAGCCTCATCCCATATTATTAGCTTTGCTTTTATAACTAACTCAGCAAGGTGACTACCATGTTTGATGTTACATGTTGAATCCTCATTCACTGATATGGGTATTGAAAATCGTGAATGTGCAGTCCTACCACCAGGTAAAAGCAAGGAAGCTATACCACTTGAAGCAACATTAATGACAACATCACCTTTAGAACGCAACGATGCTGATAACGCCTTCCACATAAAGGTTTTTCCAGTACCACCATAACCATATACGAAGAATAAACCACCATTTCTTGTTTGAACATCTGCAATTATAGTGTCATATACAACTCTTTGTTCATCTGTGAATTTGGAAGTTAACACCTCACTCTCCTTAAACAGAGCTTCACGATCATAAGACAATTCCTCCAACAGCAATCTATTACTAAGTAATGACCTATCAGCTAAATTTGGTAATGGCATGGGTGGGAAGTCTTTTAAAGACTTATTATAAGCTTGTAACAATTTCTCAATTTCCATCAAAGCATAATTTTTTTTCGATTCCTCCGGCAACATCAACTCTGTAATCATGATTATTAATGTTAGACAATTATAGTAAACCTATGTTGCATAATGAAAATATATATTAAAATATAAATTATAACAAACCGGGATTTCCAGCAACTCTTCGATGGTGAAATTCAGCATCTTCAGAAAGTAGTTTCCATGTAACATTCCAAACCGATTCTGGCCTTGAAATTGAATTTGATGTTAGCAGTATGACAAAAAGTTTTCTCAAGGAGTGTCCAGACGACCAATGGCTAGCCTCATTGATTGCATCAATGTATTCCTTGTCATCATCTAGCAAGCCGCGGGCATAACATGCATCCTTGAACGTCAAGTGAGTTACACCATTAAAAGTCTTGATCTCTTCAAAACTTATTGGACCACGTACTATGTTCAACAGACACCTTAAGTAATATATTTCACCACTGCCTGGTGGTACATAAAATATACGACCAACTGAGTAACCCCTTTTCCTTGGATGCCATTCGCGAACATTTCTTTTCCACACAAACTTATTTGGCATCTCAATGTATGTTAAAAGTCTTGCATCTTGGTATTTCTTGTTAGCTTCAAACCATGCAGTAAACATACTCTGGGCTACTGTAGGATGACTTAGCACGCGTTCAATACTATCATCGTCATCAAATATCACAGATTGACAGTCTGGCAAATGAAAACTTAATCTTTCCACAGCTGGTGTTCTAAATTGGACGTCAAAGCTGAGAAGTCGCCATGTGGCTTCGCATGCAGACACGTAACGACAGTCATAGTACATGCCAATCTCATCTATAACCTCAGCAGAATGTTCATCGACTGTACTTTTATAAAACTCAGCAGTCACCCTATCATTACCCTTGTTGACATACTTGAAAGGATATTTGATAGACCTTGATTGGTTACACCACTCAACATTTATGTGTGCATTGTATTTCAAAAGAAGGTACCTATTGTGGGGGACTACATATTGATTGTCCAATTGCGTACCATTCTTCAATACTGTTCGACCATCATCACGTCTCCTATACTTTGGGTAACCATCCTCATTTAAGGTCGAACATTCTACAAATTTTTTGGGAAAATGCTTTGAACACTTTCCGTTGGCCATGCATGGAGACTTCTTATTTGCATTACCACATGGACCATGAATCATGAAGTCCTCAACTGCATTAAAGTAATTTATATCTTGATCTTTGTTGGGAATCTCTGCTGATATAATACTGTCCATATAAGAAGTGGATAATTCAGCCCGTTGTCTTGCCAAGAATAGTAGAATATGAGCATGAGGCAACCCTCTCTTTTGAAATTCAATTGTATATATAACTGGAAAAAAAAATTATAACCATCTTATTATAAAATGTAATATGTCCAAAATGAAAGCATGATATTATTAGTTACTAACCTGAATTCACCTCCCCAAATAATTGTCCCATCCTTATTTCCTTGATAAGCGAACCCAACTTCATTTTAAAAATTCGACAAACTATATCGGGTCTATCCTCAGCATTCAAACACCGTTTCTTGATATAGCGTTGTATCTCTGGCCACTTGGGATTACATGTAAATGTAATAAACAAATTTGGGTAACCAATCCACCGACAAATGTCCATGGCATCTTGATAATTTTGTATCATGTATCTAGCCCCCCCAGTGAAACTTGATGGTAGCACAATTCGCCTACCTTGAGTGGTAGGGTCCACTTCACCACGTGTCAAAGCATCTGTCAACCCTTTGTATGCTTCACACCTCAACGACTTTTGATTTTGTCAGATGTAAGTTAGTCTACTGGATTCCACCATTGTGTACGCATCTACCAAAAACTGTTGTTGTAGTCTCTTGGAAAACAGGAGTGTGTTGACCTCCTCTATCCTTTCATGTATACGGAAAGCGAAAAACTCTCTTTGTGATATTCGTTGCCTTCCCATGGTAGAGCTTGAAGTTGTTACCGTGAATTGTATATCTTCACGATAACCATCCTCACCGTATGGGAACAAAATCGGATATTGTAAGGGTAGATAAGGTGGATTTAGCTCACTTATACGCTTCAATTCTCCACATTTAGACTCAACCAAAATATCTCTTTGACCTAACATTGGATCTAAATCACCAACTATTAGAGCTGCAACTTCAGAAACTGTTGGTAAATTATATGTTCTTGCATCAGAACTTCTTTTGCCAATGAGCCTCATCTTGACTTCGACTCAGGGGTTAGCCTCAATCTCACCCTTAGCCATACGAAATGATTTAACTAACACATTATGCTCATCTAATACTTCTTTTATGTCTGCAACAACCCCTTCATGAATTCTGTATTTCCCCTCGTCATTACTACAAAAACGTTTAAACATGTATACTTTATTCAATTAATGTTACAATTTTCCACATAAAATAAAATTGTTTAATAGCTAAGTGTAAATTATTTTTGACACACCACCTGAATTTGTTGATGCGATTGTTGACCTCGTTTTGAGTATCGTGTATGTAAAGCTGGGCAAATTTTGGTTGATTACCATCTAAGGGTAATAAGCTTCCAATTAGATGAAAATTTTGCCCATTTATCTTGAAAATTGGTGGGGCATTTCCACTGTTGATAGACTTATCAACTTTACCACCCATTGAAGTAAAACAAAACATACTATTATATGTCCTAATGTGGTCTAAGAAACTTGTCCTCTTGTCACCCGGAAGAAAGAAAAGGTCATGTAATTTTTTTGGAGGTACTATCATTAACGGTAACTTTATCTTGTTAGATATACAATAGTCTAACTGTAATAAACCATAGTATACGAGAAACCTGACCTCGTATGATAGCGGAAGCGTAGCCATGTAGATCTCCAGCCATAGTTGATGTTCCTGTTCTGTTGCCTCTTAACGGTAGACCGTCAGCCATGTTTTGTCTCAGACCTGACTCAGAACCCTAGATGGTGTATTGGTATCTACTGAGCGGTCTGAGTACCATAACTGAATGCGCTATCTAATCCATAATCCTGTATCCCATCAATCCAGGTTATATTAGGCACAGAGTTTGGTTGACTAACAACTAGTTATTAAGTCCGATAAAAAACTTAAGAGATCATGTTCCTTTTCTTAATCCCTGTGGGCAAATTAAGAAATATGACCTAAATTTACATCATAAAATTAAACTTCATGATAGAATTGGAAATTATTTACAAATAACCATAAAGTAAATAAATTGATTTATTTCTATCGTTACTGATAAAACTACTAAACTACATTCCGATACATAATTGCCTGTGGGCGAAATTATGACCGTAGTCCAATATTTCATCCTGATTAATTATACAAATATAACGAAATTGCCTGTGGGCTAAATTTCATCATATTACATACAATTAATCACAAATGATATGTCCAAAACTTTATGTGATCAAAATAAACCGCTTAATATATAACTTTAACAGATTAAGGATGTTGTGGCTACTCCAAAACCAAATTAAAATTATAAGATCACTAGACAATTATCAAATTCTTGCCTAAACTTTATGTGATTAAAACTTAATAATCTTAGGTAGCTGAATATGCTGTAGCATTTCCTTAATTAACCAAGATTGAAAACTCAAGATATTTCAGTAAATTAAAGATGCTTTGGCTATTCTTTAATAAACCGAAATAAAATCACATTGGCAATGAATACTTAAAAATTTGACAAACAGATTATACCAAATTGTGATGGGAAAAACTGAATATACTCCAAGGAAAGGTGGTTAGAGACTAAGTCCCACTGAAAACCAATTCCTTAAATAGAGTATCAATTTAAGGAGACTAGTGGCACAAGATGTTCTTAAGTCATGGCCATTAAAAATAGTATGTCTCCCCGATTCATATATACTTAATGTATAACTGTTTGGGGGTATGAACCTAAAACTGTAGGGTATACACCAAAAACTGTATGGTTCACCTATGATTAAAGCTTAAATGGTGAACTAAATTAGCGGACTAAACGTGCTTAAATTCAGGCACTACCACGACTAAAGTTTATGCATAAGTCCAACTTAAATAGGAACTAATATAATTCCATCTAAGTATGCATTGCTAAAGGCATAATAAAATTGCATAATTTAAAACATAATATTATGCTTAGGACAAATATGCATAAAATTAAACATTAAACTCATATACTCCAAAGAAATTGCATAACTTAAAGCAATTTACAATATGAGATTTTAAAGTATAAACTTAATATTCAAACACCGATGAGTCCAAACCAAAAGAGACCCAACATTTTGAATAATAATGTATTGAATATATACTTTAAAATTTTTTTAAACTGTAAGCCCATGGGAAAATATTTTAATGCATAAAGATCAAATTCATGAGAAATAACTGAATTTACAATTTCAAACAATATCAAACCAAAAGGATATGCTATCATTTGTAAAGCAAAATCTCACAAACCCTAATTGCATAATTAAACTTAATATTATGCACTTAATGTGATCGAATGCATAAAACAATCTAAGGAGTATGAACCAACTAAAGAATATGAATTTAAACAAAATATTCATTTATTCATACTTAACCAAATATGGACAGTCATAATTCAAAGAACTAAATGAATTATGGAATTAATGGCAAAAGTCAAATGCCTAGAAAATATGTTTTTCCAACATTACTAAATTGATTCAAAATCACTCTCCATAACTCAGTTAATAATAATATTATTATTATTAATGGCAAAATTGCAAATAACCAAAATAGCAATAAATAGCCATAATAATATTATCACATTATGTATGTAGGAGACTAAATATGGAAAAACAATGGTTAAAATCGCTAACACTTATAAATGTTTTCGGATAAAATTTGAAGTCCGAAAAATATTAATGTCCAGAAAATTATTTTCTGAACTGGAGTATTGTCACATAAATTTATTTGGAAACAGTTCAAGGTGCATAACTGAATACCACAACAATATTAATGTCATCATTAATTAATTAATTATTAATAGCAATAAATAACATTATAATCACTATTAACATTAACAATAACGACAAACTAAATTATGGTAATGCGCCTTCAAATGTTTCCATTTTTCTAAAGATAAAATATGTGACTAGTCCAAATTAGCGATTAACCATAACTGTAGCACTAATTATCAATAATAACCATAAAAGATAATTAATGGCTAACCTTAATGATGCAAACCGCATCTGCCCATTGCGCTAACAACGATCCAGAATTCTCCCATCTTCACTGTCGGTGTCGCTAGCCTCGATGCAGCGTCCAATGGTACATTTAAAAATTTATTGGTAGGATTTAATTACCAACATTAATATAATAGTCATGTAAAATGAAGTGGTAATCATGCCAATGTACCAAATATAGCAGATTACCATGAAATAATAATTATTATGGAAGGTAATAAAATGAAATTAGTCCCTAAACTTAATAACAGTAATTAATAATGCCAATTAATAATAACTACAATAAAGGCAAAACTGTAATTAAGGGATGCCAAATACTAATCTCAATTTACCACATAATAATTAACCATGACTATTATGATACTTAGGGAGATTGAAGTTAGGTAATAACCAAATTACCATTATATAGACAATATACCAACTATATTGCTTTTGCCATAAAATTAAAGACTTAATATTATTATTAAGGCCCTGAAAAACTATTGATAGATTAAAAATTTAATCAACTTAAACAATAGTAATAGTTCTTAATGGCCAAAATAACAATTAAATCCTTAATGTCTCTAAACAGGCTAAAACAATAATTATAGCACTTAATCACTCAAATTAGGCACATAAACCTCAATGACCCAAGTGAATTATAACATGAATAAAAAATGGTCTAAGTACTGAAATAGACCCAAAACATAATATTATTACCAACGATGAATACCAAAATATGGTAGTTAGTAATAATTAAAACTTAATAAACATGTTATAAGGAGCTATAATTATCATTAAAATATCAATCAAAAAGGTGGGATCCATGCTTTAATGACTCAAGATAGGTCCCAAATAGCTTGTTCAAAATAAGTTCTAAAGTCCAAGAGACACATAAAACTAAAATGTGCTCAAAATTAAGGGGAAACCAAAACAAGCTACCTTAATGGGCTATAAGGTCCAAAATTAGCCTAAGAATCCAAAATTGAGTGATAATTAATAATGAATTTATGAATTAATAATATGCTAAATCCAACCTTAATGCATGCTTTTATGAATGTATAATTATAACAATAATTTATAAATATACGTAGCATGCTTGAATTTGCATATTAATATATTATTAATCTATATATTTTAAATAAATTGCAATACTTAAAGCAATTTAACATAAACCTCAACATTAAATTAAAATTCAAGCAGCAAATTAAAAACTTAATATTTGCCCAAAATTGAATGATAATTTAATAATAAATCAATGAGGAATTAAATTGAACAATTAAGCTAGAAGAAGTCTAAATATGATGATGGAAAACTGAAACAGACCCAAATAAACTATACAGGCCCAAGATTATGTTTTTTTTTTAAGTACTGGGCCAGGTCTTGGCCTGACCCGGCCCACAATACTATAGTCCATCATCATCATCTTCTTTCTCAACCATGAGCCCTAGCAGCCGAGAAGGAGACCGCAGCTCCGACGAACAGCAACAAAAATAGTCGCCGGCGTCGCCTGAAAGAGATGAAGGCAGCAGCGACGTCACCGGGCAATTCCGCCTCCGCCACCAAGTCTCGTCACAACGCCAACGCCTCCTCCAACCGTCTGCCGCGACGCAACCGGCCAGGCGACGATCTGCAGCGCTCGACGTTCCTTCGCATCGTGCGTTCGTCACCGTCGGTCTACTGTCATCAGCCATAACCAACGCCACTGAAGGTCTGAAGCGACGAGGTGCCGCGACAGCACGGTCTGAAGTAGTGACGGCCGGATCGAGCGTCGCCTGTAGGGGAGATTACGGCAGCAGGCCGGGAACCCAGCCGACCTTTGCCGTTTCTCCTTTCGCAGAGCCAACGTTCGCCGTCGTCCTCCGCCGTGACGCCGCCTGAAGCCCGAGTCGCGCCACCGTCGTCGCAGATGAGTTGCCGGAATAAATAAACCGGCAACAGCTTATAGGCAGTAGGTAAATTAGAAATTCTTGAAGCTAGAAAATTGACTTCAGCAAAATCAATTGTACGGAGTAATTAATTCAGTCAAAACATACATACTATTG